CCCCCGCCCCCCCCAATGTTCCCACGACATGCCCCCCCTCGCGTGCTTCCCCCTTTAACCTATTACTAGGCTGAGTAACACCGCCGTGTTTCAAGGCCGTTCGGTCGGAGCGATCACAAACCCCGTGTACCCTGTGGCCATCGTGATGGAGGATGAAGACTATTAGTCATGAATGTTTTTTCTGTTGCTTGTTGTAGTTTTTGGAGTGTTGGCGACGGTGATCGGGAAGCAAAATACCCAGCCACATTCGCTCTCCTTGCTTTGGTGAATGACAGCTGTCGTTTGTTTATTGCAAACCTGCCGGTACGCCGCAATCGCTTGCACGCCGAGTCAATTTTTCCACGCTTCCGCTTCCTGGCCAAGATTTTCTCAATGAGGTTCTGGCCTGTCTGTTTCCCGCAAAATTCTCTCTTGCGATTATCCAAGGCCATTTTTTTCGTCAAGAGCAGGAACAGGCTCGACCTCAGAAGAGTGACGCGGGGTTGGGAAGGTCGGTCGCGAGCGTTTCATAGATCCGCGTGTGGACTTGGTGCTCGTTGCCAAGATTTTGTGGAAAAATATTACCCCGAGGGAGCGGGGGGTAGCCACGACCCACGGCCACACAGGTTTCGGTACCCCATAGTTTTCGATAGAACCTGTCCATTGTCGGTTGTTCTTTCGGGTGTATACGCTCGGGGAGCACCACTGTAGAATAGGCGGCGAGGTTTGTTTGACGGGTATTGTGCTACACATGCGGCACCCCCAAGAGTGTTTACGATAAAATTATGGCGTACAGATATGGATGGATGGATGGATGGATGGATGGATGTGGTGGAATGTTTTGGCGTTTTTTGGGAGCCTCTCACGGTCGTGGAGACCAGTGAGTGATTCTCCAAACGCTCTTCGTTATGCTGGTAGGTGAGGAGCCAGAAAAATGGATGGACTTCAAGAATGGTTGTGTCACATTTACGACAGGGATTAACGCACGGGGTCCATATTGTTCGATGCACTCCTTACATTGCAACAAAAACTTGCGCTGTGCAGAACAAGCGAACAATTGCAACGGTAGCCAAGCCTACTGCAGGCCCGTGTACCTCCCACGCCACTTTGATCTTATTTCCTACCGCAAGGTGACCTGGCTCGGCACGGTTTAAGCCGCGCGCCTTTGGATGAGCCAACGAATGCAAAACACCAAGATTGCCATTACAAGATTGGACAACAAGACTGCGAGCGCTGCCACTTCTCCCTCGCTCCTACGCCCCTTGACACTGCTTTGAAGTGTACACGCGAGATCCTCTTCAAAAGACCCCTCGTTCGGCCAACTGTTGTCCCAAAGCATCGAACTCTCCTCTTCCCGACACTGCAGCCCCATATCGTTGTCGGTAACTCTGACGGTGAAGGCAATGGCACTTCTGTGCTCCACACCGAAACTATACGTCCCTCAGTGCATCCACCCTTCTATCCGGTGCTATTTTTACAAAGGCAATTTTGAGTTATCCTTATCCTTGACCGCATATGGTTCCGGAATGTTCAAATACAAGACGAAGGAACTATCAGTAGCTTTGGACTAGTGTCGAGTCTCCGCCCCCTTCGGCCGCGGTAGCCGCTCCCGCTGCTGTCGCCGCCTCGCGTGCGAGTGCTTCTTCACGCAGCCTCAGGCTCCTCCTGGAGTTTCGCATCGGGAAAAGTACAAGAGTCGTCCCGGGTAGCAACTGCTGTGAGGTTAGGATTATATGATAGCATCTCCGGAGCTATGTTGCGAGACAAGGGCGTCACTACGATATCGCCGGCGCTTGGACCCCATGCAGCACTTGGTTTTCGAAATGCATACTGGTACTACATAGTATGCATAGGCGCAGCGTCAAACCGCGGTCTCAAGCTGTTCCTGGCACCAAGCGTCCTGCACAGCAGGAAGAAAAAAACTACAGCATCATTGAACCCGTTTCCAACTGCTTCGATTTGCACGGACAGCGCTCCGTAGCAATGCTTTCTACCAACCGCCACTCACGCACTGCGACCCAGCTAGACAAATGAACATCTTCGTCACCGATGAACTTGTTTTATTACCTCTGTACCCAGTTGTGCTGTAGTCTAGTGACTATTCCAGTGTTGGCTCTTCATGTACTCAGTACAACACAGGTTCCGACCTCGACGAGGTACCCACACAACGTCCGTACCGACTCCCAAAACTCGCGCAATACACACTACATACAACCAATGCCAAAACTCACGCCAACGCCATGCGAGCCCGCCCGGCCGCGTTCCTAATCGCCTCCCTCTGGTCCTGCTGCTGCGCCGCGAGGACCCTCGCTTTCCTCTCCGCCGCGGTGGCCTCCGGCGTGAGGCCACGCTCCAGGTCGCCACGGCAGTAGGGGCAGCCCGTGTTGCCGGCTCGTCGGTTTTCCACCAGACATACCCGGTGGAACATGTGCTGTGTTGGTTTGTTAAGGGGGGGAGGGG